CTATTGTAGACATTGCAACTAATTAAAACGTATGAATTTCACTTTAGATTATTAGAAATATTACTAGTTGCAATACAGTAAAGTGCAGAAATAAAAAAATTATCGACTAGTCGAGTCTAGTGACAACACGATGTTCTAAAATGAAATTGTCCGTCGATAACTGCTGCGACCTCTGTGGACAATCACCTCCAGGATACAACGATCAAATAAACCAATTGTGCAGCAATCACAAAAGGTTTTCAGAACTCTCAAGTGTACTCCAGAAATATGTAAAACTAAGAACAATATTTTTTCTGTNTAATCAAGTCTCATGACAATAAGATGTCCTAAAGCGAAATTGTTTGTTGATAACTGCTGTGACATTTGTGGACAATCACCTCTAGAATACAACAATCAAATAAACCAATTGTACAGCAATCACAAATGGTTTTCAAAACTCTCAAATGTACTCCAAAAAATATGTATAAAATTGAGTATAATATTTTACTGAAATATGAAGACACAATTCCGTATTGTGATAATTTTCTAATGCCTAAATGTGTGTTTATATAGGCAGAAAAATGATATAACTGTCTCCGCCATGATCCAGTATTATTTGTAATTTTTATAGCAGTGGTAATGGATTGTTAATACTGGACAATTAAAAACGGTCATATTTTACTTATTAGTTGACCTATTAAATAATTTCGAAAATGATTAAAAATAATAATTTATTATTAGAATCAATTAAGCCCAAGACCTCAATCAAAGACTTTTAATATATGCGTGAAGTTTTACTCGAACCCCCGACCTCCCACACAAATTCCACACTTTTCACTAATTGGGCACTTCATTTGAAATAGTTATTTCTTTCGCATATTACATTTATTATATAAATATCTAACAATACCCTTGAAAGCATAACTTGCGATTTACCTTTTTCACCAAGGCCTAGACCAGGGGAGGTGGGGGGCCGTCAAGGATGCGGTTCATCCTTTATAAATATCTAACAGTAACAGGTTCGATAGTCGGTACCATTCATTGATTACTAGCAAGAAAAACTAGTGATATTAGAACATCCGCCAGTTGATCCAATTGCGGTACTTTTTGTGCAGAAAAAAATAATTATTATAATTGAAAAAAGTAGTAATTATAACTTCTCTTGAAATTTCATTTGCATCAAAGATAACGACTATAGAAATATTTCATTATTAGGCCAGAATTGCTCTAGCGCTACACTAAAACATTAGGGGATATTCTCTTTGTATTTTAGTTTTGTGGTTTGAGTTTTGAATTCGTTTTAAATTTTGTGTTTTGAATGTTCATTTTGAGATTGTTGAAAATATCTTCTTTTTGATATTTTGAAAATTTATTTTCAAAAATTAAAAAAAAAAAATGGAAAACCTATTTGCTTTCCCCTCCCCTCTCTCTCTTGGTGGTGGTTGGTGATGATTGAAAACACGCAAAACGCGTTTTGAAAATTTTGGTTTGATTATAATTGAAAACACTTAATTTGTCGTTTTGAGTTTTCTTTGTAAATTTTTAACTTATTTTTAAAAATGCGTTTTCGAAAATAAGAAAGAGAATGCGTTTTTACCTTTTTGAAAAATCGAAAATCTCCCCTCTCACGCACACATTTTCATAAAAAATAAATATAAATAATGAGAAGGAAATCTGTGGTTATGGAGGCCTTTTCAAGCTACCTCATCCTGGCCCACACATCCTTTTTATAATTGAACTTTTTTAGATGAAAAAGACTCCTTGTATCGGGGGTGTTCAACCCCCCCTATGTGAGGGGGCCCGTAGGGGGGATTGTACACCCCAAATGTGGGCCCCCCTCATGTGAGGGGGCCGGTAAGGGGGGTTGTACACCCCTCCCCCCCAAGTACGAATAGCATCTCTCTTTTTAGATACATCTTTTGGTCCCAACTAGTTAAATTCACGGAAATTGTGGCGTATCACGACATACAAAACCGTTAAATGTTACGAGTTTTGATTCATTTAAAAAAATTGTGTATCAATAATAAAAATGTATTTCGAAAGTGTCATTCTGATGTAAAATGTGATAAGAGTTTTTTTTTAAAAAAAATGTAAACCTATATTTCAAAAGGCATCCACGGTATGACTCGGAAAGGTGAAGGAAGAAGGGTCAAATTGGTGATTAAAAAATTAAATAAATATACAATTTTGAAAATGAAAATCAATTGTATCATAAATTAAGAAAAGTATTTGACAAATTATGTTCGTGAGTTATCTTGGGGGGTCCGGTGTAGACCACGTTCTACAATAAAAAATAAATCAACAATGAACATGATTCAAGTAATAATTCTCATACAAAATGCTCACATTTTTAAGAATGGTAATTCTTTATTTAGAGTATTCGAGAAACAAAATTTAAATAGGTCTATCAAAATAAACTACATTAGTAAATGACAAAAACACCCTTCTACTACTTGATAACAAAGAGAAATTAAAGGAAAGCAATAAAAAATAAAATTAAACTCGTGTACTCCAACCAAACCCTAGTGTGGCTCGGCCGAACCCAACATCTTCGGCCCTGTCACCCCATTGCTCGTTTAAGCACCTACCTCTCCCACTGCTCCAAGAATGCTGCTGCCCTAATTTGTACTCCACTAGGGGTCTTAGCCTATCAAATATGAGACACAATGGTTGGCTTTCTATGTATATGGACATTCTTTCCTTAACATGCCTTGGAGTCAAAATTTTGTAACATAATTCTATTGACCCATCTCGAGGTAATCAACACAAACCTTTGTTTCAAGTTTGTCTTGCATTAAAGATATAGTTTTTAATGTAACATAAATTACACATTTGGGACATTAGTTTAGCCATGTAAACAAGTCGAGCAAGTTCACGAGCCAAGTCCCACGGTCCGTGCAAAAAATGACTCGGACTTTTTTGACCTGAGCCGAGCCAAAACTTGAATGAAAAATCGAGGCTTGGCTTGAGTTTTAGGCTCGGGCCTTACCGAGCTCGAGCTGGGTAGAGTCGAGCCGATTTTTTTTTTTTTTTTTAATTGATGAAATTCTAATTTTTTTTCATAATATAAATTTTGTGCAATTTATTATAATTATAGATTTTAAAAATTTAAAATCTTCCTCCTTTTTTGGGAAAAAATGGCATGTCACAGGAGCCGGTTTGATGTGGCTCGTTGAGCCACACAGGCCAACTCAAACTAAGGTTGTTGCCCGAAAATGAGGCTCGGCTTGAACATTATCTCAGTGGACACGAGCTACGACCCAAGCCGGCTTGGACTTTTTCTCGACCAAGTCGCGAGCCGTCCAAGCCAACGAATCGAATTGACATTCCTACATTAGTTGAATGTTCTAAATGGTCAAAATATTTAGTACCATATATAAAATTTTATGTAACAAAACTTATGAAAATGCAGAGTTGAAATTGTATTCTTCTAGAACTTGACTTCGTGTGGGAATTCCACGACTTGTGAAAATTAAATGGTGAAGATTTTGTCCGGCAAGCCATGACAGAGTCGGTTACCTGCTCAGGTCCTTTTGTATCTGCAAAGATGAGAAATCTCCCTAAAGTAATATACGAACGAGTTATCTTTTGGAGAATAGGACAATAATATAGTATCTAATCCATTAATATTGGGAATTGTGATGATCCTAAAGGAATTGTGAATTAATTTAGAGATGAGAATTTTTTTTCTAATTCAATCAAAAGATATTCACAAGAGAATTTACTGGTGCAATTGGATGTACTTTTTGTATTTAATTCACAGTATTTGTTATAATTTATTGTGCATTTTAAATTTATTAAAAAAAAATTTAATCTCTATTTGATCTCATTTTCTAAAATTCAATTTTTTTTTTCAAATTTATTTTCAATCACATCTTATGGGAACTCATAACTCTTATCAACTTTTGAACCACATATTTTTATTAATTTTTATCAAAATTCACTAAAAATCTAATTTTCACCTAAACGAATTAGGAACTTAATATATTAGGATATTACTAGATCATGGAGTCTGTTTTAATTTATAATGTCCTTGTTTCCATTGAAAGTTATAATTAAGGGTGTCGACGAGTCGAGCCGAGCCACAAGCAGAAACTCGAAGCTTGGGCTCGACTCGAGTAAAAATGTATCGAGCCAAGTCGAGCCGGCCAAAAAATTTAGGCTCAACTCGAGCTTTCGGCTCGAGCCTTTACGAGCCGAGTCGGGCTTGAGTCGAGCCGGCTCAATTTTTTTCCTTTTTTTTTTAAAAAATATTCAACGGCTGCCTTCATTTTGTTTTAACTTTTTTTTATATATATATACTTAGCTGAGTTGGCTTGGCAAGCCACTCAGGCTTGAGCCTTTGCCCCAAAATGGGGCTTGGACAATGCCTCGGCTCGGTGGGTCCTAGCCACGAGCTGGGCTTGGCTCGGCTTTTTCGAACCGAACCACTAGCCGCCCGAGCCAGCGAACCATTTTGCAATCCCTAGCTGTAACTAAAGTTGTGTAGTTTATTGAATAAAAATCAATGAATTTTTTGATCAAATCAATGCTCAATATTAGCTTATAATCAATGATATTTTAATTTCGATTAGCTATCATTTTTACCTCAAAATTATGACTGATAAATCAATTGAAGCAACAAACTACAATAATTGGAATAGAACTTGATGTATACGTTTAGTTACTTTTTTATATATCATGGACTTTTGATGTAGACATTGATAACTAAATTATTATTATTATTATATATATAAGTAAAAACCCAACTAGCCATTAATCATCTAGACAATGAAATATAGTAGTCAAAACGTTTACACTCTCATGGTAATATATACCAAGTCAAATCATAAACACGGATGATACCTTCACTGGAGCAGATTGTTGAGACTTGGATTAAAGTTGCATTTGCAACCAAGTATTTTCTTCCTCTCATTAAGTTCATTTAAATCTCTCTCTCTCTCTCTCTCTCTCTCTCTCTCTGTGTTTGCCTTCCATGCTGGTCCTGGTCCATCTTCAGCAAGAATAATTTGTCCAAAAGTATGGCGGCCGCAGGAGGAGCAAGCTACACCGACCGTTCTTTGCAGTATACCCCGACTTGGGCTCTTGCAACTGTTTGTTTCATATTCATCCTTTTAGGCCTTTTTGTTGAACACTTGATCCATCTCCTAGGTCATGTAAGCATTCATTTGTCTTGTAAAACCCAAGATTTTTTTATCTGGTTTTTCTCCTCCTTAAGTTCATGGACTCCCATTGAAATTAATATGTGTTTTAATTTGGTGTATAGTGGCTAAAAAAGCATAAGAAGACTGCTCTGTATGAAGCTGTAGAAAAGCTTAAGTCGGGTATGTTATACTATCGAGTACGACCTAAGCCTCGGTTTGGATAGAAATTCATAAATGGATATAAATTCAATCAAAGTCAAACATATTTTCTACTCACTACTTTCCACACATTTTTTGAAACCCCGAATTTTGGTTGACACTAATGAAAATTATTGTCTAATTTTTGTGCAGTTTTGATGCTTTTGGGATTTATGTCACTAATATTGACAGTGACATCAAGATCTATATCGAAAATATGTATTCCGAACAAGGTTGCAGATTCGATGCTGCCATGCCGAAGAGATAGACAAACAAAAACTCCCAAGGCTTTAGAGCACATATGGGTCTCCTTTCAGAATGCAGTTTCAGGAGGAGAATATAAGGATGATTTTATATCTCGTCAAGAAAGAAAATTGGCTGCAGATACTGCTTATTCTACCGATCATTGTGGCTCTAAGGTATGTAAGTAGACAAATTTGTGCAATTTTGACACCAATATAAAACGTCATATCATAAAAAAGGTAGTGTTGAGCTTAATATTATAAATTATCGATATCTTGTAATTACATTAGTATCTTGTGTGTGTCATGTTGGACAGGGAATGACTTCTTTCATGTCAGAACAAGGAATAAACGAGCTCAATATTTTCATATTTGTGCTAGCAGCTATGCAGATTGTGTACAGCCTTGTCACAATGGGTTTGGGAAGAGCCAAGGTACAACATGGCACCCAATTTCCTTCATTTTTCTTTTGTTGAAGAAACATATATATTCCCTCCACCTTAATCATGCATTTACTCGACTTGCAGTCTTACAAAACGCACACGTCTATGATATGTTTAGTAAAGTGGATTATAAGATACTAAGACCCTTTGATTCATCCTATTTTCCATGGATTTTCCAAGTGTTAACTTTTGTCTTGTTTAATAGTCAAAATTTTCTTGTCAAAATATTTTCCTCCCAACCCCCCACGTTTCATTGAATTGGTTTTCCCACCAAAATGGTTTTTCAATGAAAATAAATTATATCCCCAATTATAAAAAAAAAAATTCCTTTAATGGACAATTTACATGGAAAATAAAGTCAAATGAACACTAAAAGATCCAAAATTTCAACATTTTTCAAGTGAAAAATTATACCAATCAAACACGATTAATTCAAAATTCTCAAAAAAATAATTTTAGGCAATTCAATTTTCTGTAATTTGTTTTATTTCCACCAAAATTTTACTCTTGCAATCAAACGGATACTAAAATACGGTATAGTAAAACAACTAAGATTCACTACTGGGCGGCATTGCTTTATGTTCACTCCTGTACATTGACTTGGTAAGATTTTTTTGGACATGTTCACATTTGGACTTGATTTTCTCGTGTTGTAGTCAATGAGTCGGTGGGTAATTCTAAAAATTTATTACAGATGAAGCGTTGGAAGGCTTGGGAGAGAGAGACGCATAGTGTCGAATATATGGCTGCCAATGGTACCACTCTATAAATATCCATCAATTACAACCCTACATTTATTTGTCAACCTTTAGTTAGTTGCAGCATTTAATACTTGAATAATTCTACTTGTATATTATGGCATCCATAATGGATGACATAATGTACAAGTGGCAATACATTATTGAAGGGTGTACCCGCCCACTGGCACACCCTCCAATAATTAATACTTTTACGCAAGATAAATTTATTTATTTTAATTAATATCTTTGTACGTTATGGAACCATACTACACGAACATAGGGGATGACCGAACACACACAAATGGGAGGGTTGGCATTTTTTAATTCAAGCGGGACCCATGCGCAAATGTGAGGGTCGATCAACCCCTATGTCAAATTTTTCAAGCACTTCAACAAAATTCATATGTTATTTTACGTGTGGACCATATTCATTTTAAAATTAAACACATATTGTGTTAATATTTTCATATTTTTATTTAAATGCTTTTTTGTCTTTAACATTTGTTGCCAAATTTGTTCTAACTAAATTTATACTTTTCACTAAAAATTTTCTGGGAATTGAACCATATTACATTTGTTACTTAAATTCATAAATAAAAATTTATATTTTGTACTTGTCATCGTGATAAGAAAAATTATAATTTCTTTTGATGGAGGAAATACTTATTAAATTATTTATTCATGGAATTATACATGAAGATCCTGAAAGATTTAGAATAGCAAGACAAACAACATTTGGGAGACGACATGTAACCACGTGTTCAACTACTCCTGCTCAATTGTGGATTGTGCGTACATCTCTTTCTTTTTCACAATTTAATCGCTACAAGAAATTTCACTTATAACGACAAAAATTATTGTTACAGGTCATTGTTATGTTATTTGGTCGAAAGTAGTTGTCAAGAGACTTTCGGGACAAAAGTTTTTGTCTTTATAAGTTAATTTTTTGTAGCGAATTTTTAATTAATGCTAACGGAAAAAAAGAAAAAAATTATTGTTTTGTGATTTTGCAGAAATGTTTTTTCCGGCAATTTTTCAAATCTGTACCCAAAATTGACTACCTCACTTTGCGCCACGGCTTTATTTCGGTTAGTATATGTTCATGGTTTCACTCTGATACAGTAATTTATAAGTCGGAAAAAAATATTCTTAAATCATAAATCTAGTAGTTAGCAAAAACAATAGTTGTCTTAGTTGCGATCGAATACATGAAAATCTGAAACTTTTGCAGGCTCATTTATCAACAAACAACTCCTTCAATTTCCGAAAGTACATACAACGATCGTTGGAAGACGATTTCAAAGCAGTTGTTGGCATAAGGTAATTCAATTTCAGTAGTGAATACCGTAGTGAACCGGATGGAAATTTTCGGGTTTCTAATTAATTTTTTGATCCATTCTTGATAAGTTGGGAGATTTTCCAAATACATCAAACCAAAATTTCAAATTTTAGAGTTTCTTCTCAAAATATCGATCTTGTTACGTAGCACAAACTTTTATCTATATTAAATATCGAACTTATTCCTTAACATATTCCCCCACAAAATGGTAATTCGTTTGAAGACACCAATCTTGGAATTTATTGCTTGTTTGAGAAATAGTTGGATTGAATTGAAAATAAGATGGGTTTTCATTGAAATTTATGCCATATGATTGGTAATCAAATCGAATTGCTTGTTTGAATGAGAAGTCAACGCCCTTGTATATATTGCTTATTTATTTTATTCAATATGAGAATTATCTCTTTAACATGCATCTACGAGATGATATCTTATTTGAAAACATTAATCTTAGAATCATTGTGCTCGTTTGAGTATTAATCGTATCGAATTGCTCATTTAAATTTAATGAACCCTAATACCATACTAAGTCTTGATGTTCCATTTTAAAATATCAATTTTGTTAATAGAAGTAGTTCAAACTCTTATATATTGATTATTCATTCCATCCAATATTTAATAGAGATTTGCTATACGTACACCGGGGTTGACACCCCCGTGTACACGCCCCCCCCCCCCCCCC